ATGGAAAAGCAAATGAAAATACACAAGTCTAGATAGATATTTACAAATATCTCATGGAACAATTAATTCAAGAAAAAGACAAGAGTTAACAAATTTAGAGAACATTCAAGATAGATCTATATATGACCATGCAGCAAACTTGCTGAAGATATCTTTCAGTTAGGAATATTCAACAAAATAAATAAAGATATACATAATACCAACATTCACATTATGATGTGTTTATTTTTACATCACAAATACTTGCGAGGGCTTGGATGCCACTTTCTTTCATAGGATCATATTTGGCAGGTACAGATGTATCCACAAGTCAATGACCTTCCTAACTTAGCAGGCTTCAAACTTCTTTCATTTGAAAACCTTACCGGTCCCCCTCCATCTGCATCATCGCCCCACTTAATAGTGACAGTAATACTAATGACAATCACCCAATATTACCTCCATTCATCATAAACATGACTAAAATTACAATTACTGTAAAAAATATTACCCTACTGGTCCATGGCATTTATTGCTACGAAGATAAAGTAGAGAAGGTGTTGACAATTCTTGGCACAAATCAAAATTCCAATTGCGTATGAGACGGTAGTATCTGAAAATGCATTAGAGTGTATAAAATTATTATATCAATGTATGCCTTAAAATACATAACATCATTATAAGAGCAACTGCCCAAGATAAATATCAAAATCACATCTTACCCATTCAAGCAGCCGACAAAAGATTCAAGCTGCTCTAATGTCTGCAGTTTGAAATAACAGGGGACACCTGTTTCTCTGGACAGTTCAACTGTAAGGTCCTGAAACCTCGTCGACACAAACACAAGTTCATCCAAGCGGCAAAGTTGTATCCATGCCTTAAAAATAGTAATATTAGTTTGGTTAACAACTTCTCATTCTATGAGAATTTTACATTACATAATGAATATCATTATATACATTCTGTGAATAATTAGATCTTTACAACTCTCTCTAGTATAACATACTAACATAAAAAAAAAACATCATTCAGAAGCTAACTTAGAAATTTCTGAATTCTGAACTTCACTTCATCTATATCAAATAATAATCAAGTTGCATCAAATTTCATACCCCTTTCCTCTGAGAAGCATAAGTATAGCGCAGACCAGGGTATTCAGAATGGAAAGGATCTATGACCAGTCTGATGTTGTAGTCTTTCCCAGCCTCATCCATCAGGAGCACATATTCTTCAGTGCCATAACTGCATCGTTTTTCTTCAACCTGAAGGGAAGGGAAAGTGGCAATTAATTCAGAAAAAGAAAAATACTTTGACTCCTGTTGAATTTATCCTCAGAGTCAATATGCAAATTGGTAATTGACATGTAACTTTCAATCCAGACTAATGCAAGTCTAAAAGATACTCTCAAAACAAAGGAACATTGTGTTTAACAAGATGAACTCTGTCTAATTTTCTTAACCTAAAGGAATTACAAGCCCTCCAGTTTGTAAGCCACAAAAAAGGCCAGTTTTTTTTCATTTTTACTATTCCAAATTTGATTTGCTGATACTTCAAGACCTCAATCTTAAACACCAGAAAATCAACATTTCACATATCATATACATACAAGCATCAATGCAATGCAAACCACAAGAAAGTATTGCAATTACTGGACTTATATGAAAGAAATGAGAATAAACTACTAAAAGTATAGTAAATAACCACCATATAAAGTAACAAAATCATATTTTAATCCTGTAATCCAATAAAATACTGATAAACATCTAGACATACATAGTAATAACACAATGATATCCCAGGAGGTAATTCTGTGATATGTAATAGTATGGTGTGTGGAGGGGGAAAATGGGAGAGGAAAAGATCAGGGGATTTGACTGGTTCAAATATGCCATACTGTACCACACATTAATTCAACATAATACATTCCATTTACAAGAAGAAATAGGTGGGACTGTATGACTGACTCAGAGAGAGGAGGGCCTGCAAGGAAAATGAGGGTATGGGGATAGATTATGGGTGTAGGTGGAGGAATTTAACCAAATGCTACCAACTATATTAAAGGACACTACATTTCAGTGTTTCTGCATTGAACCACCATCTTAAAAATAATTCATTCTTTGTTGAAAACTGAATACTTATAGATACCTTTTAAAAATCAGAAAAGATACAATTTTTTTAAATGCCAGTATTGTTGCAAGATTTTTTCAAGACAATATAACTCTAAGTATCAAGGAGCCCTAACCTGATATGGCTCACTGTACATGAATGGTTGAATGATGAAAACACTCTACCATGTTGATACTATGGTAGAAAAACCCACAATGTAAAAACTAGATGGTTGAGAATCTTGCCAAAACACCATTCTTGAGCCTTTCATAATATAGTAATCAATGAAGCTGTATAACAAAATAATGACAGCATGAGAATAATGCCTAATGTCATAACCAAGTGGACTTAATGTATAGCAATTATGATAATACAGATAGTACACCTCATTTTATTTCTATGACATAATAATTCA